TTCCTGGAGGCTTTCCGTCGATTTGTATCGAGAAGAGGTCGACCTACCTATGTTCATACGGATAATGGTACCAATTTCACTGGAGCCAACAACCTTCTGCGCAATATCAACTGGAGACGGGTGGAAAACCTTGGCGTCGTCGAAAGGATCCAGTGGCAATTTAACCCTCCCTCTGCTGCCTGGTGGGGAGGATGGTGGGAGCGAATGGTTCGCGTTATGAAAGATATGCTGCGGAAGAACCTTGGACGAGCTGCTCTGAGTTACGAAGAGCTTAACACTGTACTGTGTGACTGTGAAGCAGTCATAAATAGTCGACCCATTACTTACCTGGCGGAAGATACGTGTCAACTCGTACCTTTGTCGCCCTCGCTGTTTCTTCATGAGCTGAAAGATGACAAAGTACCTGACATCGACGTGGCGATTACCTCTCAGAAAATCACTGCTAGATTGCGCTACATCCAGGGACTGCGAGAAACTCTGAAGAAACGTTTCAGAATTGAATATCTTGGTCAGCTGATGTTACGCCCCTCGGCGCGATCTACCTCCAACACTCTCAAGGTGGGAGATGTTGTCCTCATCGGCAACGACCTGCAGAAACGTCTGGACTGGCCCTTAGCCAGAATAATCGAGCTTATTCCTGGAGCTGATGGAGAGACGAGAGTTGCTCGTTTGAAAACGGCCACGGGAGAATTCGTACGACCGGTGCAGCGATTATATCCCTTGGAGATACACTCTGGAGAAGAATCGTCTCGTGACTTGATAGATTACTATCAGACAAAGAAGAAATTGTCTAAACAAATAAAGACTACCACTACTAGTGCAAATTCTGGAGTGCCTAAAGACATAAAGGTTGTAAAGACTCAAACGCTTACGCGAAGCGGTAGACTTGTAAAATCCCCGTGTAGGCTTAAGTATTAGAGTTTATTTTGTTCATTTGTTATTGTTTCGAGTCTTTTCAGACCTATGCAAAGAGAAGTGTTTTGTTTTCTGATTATCTCTGTACGAAAGCTTTAATTTTTATTTGACTCTGTTGAGTTGTTGGGATTGTCAACAACTCAAGGTGGGAGGAGATGTTGAGATAAGAATAGAGGCGCTGGTATGGCGTGATAGAGTTTTTAGTTGCGT